ACGGAAGAAGCGTTGACGGAGAAGGGCGTGACGAAGACGGTGTGACCGGGAGAAGAGTTGACGGACAAGGTGTGACCGGGAGCAGCGTTGACGGAGACTTGGTTCACGCACACGGGGTGACGGAGACAGAGTTGGCGTAGAGGCGTTGACGGGACAGGCGTTGACGGAGAACGCGGTGACGGGAGAAGGGGTTGACGCAGACGGGGTGTGACGCAGAGGCGTTGCCGCAGACAGGCGTTGACGGAGCGAGCGTTGACGAAGACGGTGTGACGGAGAGAGCGTTGACGCAGAGAGCGTTGACGGAACAGGCGTTGACGGAGAGGCGTTGCCGCAGACAGGCGTTGACGGAGAAGCGTTGACGGGAGAGGCGTTGACGGAAAAATGTTGACGAAGAAGGGGTGACGGAGACGGCGTTGAAGGAGAGGCGTGCACGGAGAAGGGCTGACGGAAGAAGCGTTGACGGAGAAGGGCGTGACGAAGACGGTGTGACGGAGAGGCGTTGACGGATAGACGGCGTGACAGCAGAGGCGTTGACGGAGTGGCGTGACCCGGACAAGGCGTTCACGGAGACGGCTTTGACGGAACAGGCGTTGACGGAGAAGCGTGACCCGGAGAAGCGTTGGACGGCGACGAGGCCAACAAGTGGAGGACGGCGGCATCGACGGTAGCAACGACGGTAGACACGGCAGAAGCATTGATGTTGTTGTTATTACTGCGGTTTTGCGGTGTACGCACAGAGAGAAAGTGTGTGTGTCAAGGTGTTTAGTGGACAACGATGTAGACACGCGGGCGGGGGTGTATATTCATGACGCGTTGCGCGTACTATTTTTTCTATTTTTTCTGGTCTTTCTTTCTTTTTTTTTTTTGTTGTCTCCGCTGTTTTTACTTTTTTATTATTATTTACGCGGGCGACATTGTTCATGTGTGGAAGAGCCAGAGTCTTCTCGAGATTGTGTAGAAGATGTTGTTATGCATTTGTACAGGTATGATGTGTGTCGTGCAATTGTTTGTTTTTTTTTTTTTTAGGTAATTTATTTCTAACTTATTTTTGTTCTTCTTTTTACTCGTATTTATTATTTTTCGTTGTGCAACTCCGCGTTATGTATGTAAGGATACGGAGTATATATGTGTATATGTTTAGATAGGTTATATGAATTGATGCATATATACCCCCTGTTCAAGTGTAGAATATTGTTGAGGTTGCAACCACGTTAATGAGTACTGCATATAGAGGATTCTATTGGATACGTAGACCTTGTGAGTAATGCAGTAGCGCAAGATATGCAGAACGCTATACGCATTCTGCCAGCACTGATCTTTTCTATGTTGTTATGATGCGACAAAAATGGCGACAGAGTTAGCGAACATATTGAGAGCGTATGCGACGCTTAGGCACCTGACGACGGATACTGCGATTTATCAGGTAATTTCCTATACATACACGCCGAGTGTGGCGCTGTGCACAAGCCAGCACATATGTGTTTATAAGAGCAGCATACTAAAGCGTAGCAGCATGTCGGACATGTGCGTGCTTCATATGTACCGCATACGGCACATTTACATGTAACAGGCAGGAAGGGACAGATATATTTAGATGATTGCAACGGTTCGTGAATAATACTGTGCGACCACATATATATGTGCATTGTGTTAACCACAGGGACATTTATGGAAGGATATGCAATACCAAATGCGGCTTTTTATTAAGCATATGGACGGAGATAGTGAGTACCACAATGCTAAGAACTGTGAGAATGCATACTGGGAGCATCCAACAGAACATGGCAAGACACACCAACCACAAAGGAAGATGGATCGGCGAACAGAAAGAGTTATATGCAGACTCATGAAGCAAGGGATATATTTTGCGAACGCATGGACTCAGGAAGTAAAGACCAACATAGAGGACAACTCCGAGAACGATAAGGAAATTAAGGGGTTAATGAGATGCACCATAGCGCATATATACCAAGATATACTCAGGACATATGCATGCGAGGGTTGGTGGGGCACATATTACGCATGGTGGGTGGTGGACCAAATATCGGGCGCGTTAAAGGACACATTGGGGGAAAACCATTGTAAGCGCGGTATGTATAAGGAAATCGAATTAGGGCACTGGCCCATGAGGAATCAGATGAAGAAATGGCTAAAGCAGAATGCACAGATGCAGGAGAAACTTGCGCAGGAACAAATAGGCGATGACTGTAAGGGAGCACAGGTAAAGCTAGAGGTCGGGAAGACACAGGAGGAAAAAGACAAGAACAAGGACAAACAAACGAAAGATGAAGTAAAGCAGCAGGTCACAAAAATTTTGCAAGAAGTGGAGGAAGAGATGAAGAACGAGGAGAAACAATTGAGGGGGTCAACTGCGAAAGCACCCAAGTACCCTTCTGTGGGCGAAGAAGACGAAAAAAAGGATGCCGAGATAGAGGAACACATAAAACACGCAGTAGAGCACGCGGGAGACGCATTACAGAAAGTAATCGTTATTCCCGCCTCCGGCGCACGCGCCACCGGAACAACCCAGCAAACGCCAGGTAAGGACCGATGGGAGAAAGCACCAATACGGCTGCACACGAATATTACGAATACGACCCGTATGGCCCATATGGATGCCGCCACAACAAAACCACGCGCCCGCGGCGGAAAAGCACGGTCCCTTCGTTGAGCTGAGCACAGCGGCGGCCACGAATATGTAGAGACCACGACGGTAGCGGTAGCGGTTGAGGAGCGGACGCATATGAGTGGCCAGGGCAGCGGGACGGCGGACGACATGACGGCAACAACAAATAAAAGTTGTACTGCTACCAT